CAGAAAAAATATTCATTACGAATAACTAGTCCCACCACCATGTCCACAACCTCACCTACCACCCCTAGAGATAGTATCTAAAGCTAATAATTTGCGTTGAGGGCATAATAAAACAATCAACCAAGATAAATCAATCGCATATCAGGCATGATGGAGTCTTTAACTAACTAAGATTGCACATCCTATAAAGAAGAATACATAACAGAGATAAATTTAGCAACATAAAATATTTTTTTTATTTCTAGCAAATAGTTGGTCATTCATGAAATCATAGTCTTAAAGTAGAATAAGTTCTAGGTAGCTTCTGGGGTCCGCTATAGTACTCATGCATCTTCATATCATTCTATTAGAGAGAGAACTCAATGTTGCAATCCGGGATACCGAGCTTGTGATTTTCATGATAACAAATATTCTTGATTGAATTTTCACTTCTCCTAGCATTTGCATTGTATATTTGTTTATGTGTGTACTAACATTGCAAATACATCATACACCATCCAAGATCATTCTAGGCTCAAGATTGGATAGAATAGGATGTGTTAGAAGAGTATGTACTTTTAATTTATTTTCTAAGACATATAAGAGTGTATGCTGATTTGGTGACCATGCACACACACTAGGAGTGAGAAAATGAATTTTAAAATTTTTTGAACTAATCGTACCATATGATCCAAATCGTATTGTACTATCATTTATTCGTAAAATCAGTTAAAATAGCTAATCATGTAATTAAATATTTTTTAAAGAAATCGAACTGTATAGGGGTGTCAAAATCGAGTCATGGGTCGGGTTTGGGTCGAACCCGACATCAACCCGCTACTGTTTGAACCGACTTGAATTTATAAACGGGTCAAAAATTCCAACCCGCACATGTTACGTGTTGACCCGACCCGCAAATCCTGATTTCTTCCCAACGCAAGCAGTAGGTGAGGTATGTGCAGGCAAACCTGTGGGGGCGACCGCGGCCTGCTGGGGCAAGCAAGAGTTATGTGTTACTTATGATTTCTTTCTCTCTTTCGCCGTCTTCTTCTTCTTCTTTACTTCTAAAGCATGTAGGGTTGTTGTCGGCTATAGAGGAGTGTCGGTGACAACTGGTGAGGGGCATATATGATATTCTGATGGATGTTGAAGGGTCTGATCCGGTCACCTAAGGGAGAGATAGGCACGACCCGTCGAGTGACAACCGCACGAGTGACGATAGTGGTTTGCTAGGTTGTGTCTTCGGTCTTCCAGCATGAGACGGTGAGAGCGAGGCATGTGTGATGTGTCTTACACCTAAGGGCTGACAGAAACCGGTTTCCAGGTTGAGTCGAACCCGACCTTGAATTTGAAACGGGTTGAAAATTGGGTCCCGAACCTGACTCGTTCTAAAAATGGGTTGACCTTAACCCAAAAAATTCATGTCGGGTCTTCGGGTATAGTCAATATTTGACATTCCTAGTATTGTACGAACAAGATCGTACTGTACAATCTGTTTAATCTGAAAACCATTACCGCTAATCAAATTTAAGTATTTTTAATTTTCGATGTTGCATTATTCGTACTATACAAATACCTTCGTATTGTACGATATTTTAAAACTTACTTAAATTAATTAATGTGATTAGTCAATCAAATCAAGGTTTACTTAATATGGCAAATCGTATCATACGATGTTAATCATATCGTACAAAATGCATAGACGAAATCCAATCATCCCAGAGATCGTCCTAGATGAAACTTTGTTTTGAACTAATCGTGCTGGACAACTGGCAGAGACGATTTCGACCGTCCCAGAGATCGTCTTGTACGGTCTTAAGATAATTAAACTAATCGTACAGTACGATCTATGATCGGTATACAAAACTTGAAGAGTTCGTGTCATGCGACTCTTCCATCATACTGGCTGAACTCTGGTTTTTGAACTATTCATATTATACGATCCTCGATTGTACTGTATGAACATAAATGACATAATTGAAATTGTAGGGTTTTTTTTTTAGCCTTGTATAAAATCTCTCTTATTTGATTCTTAGTAATCTTTTTGCTGTTGAAGAGAATCTGAGAGAGCTTTGTGAGAGGACTTAGGCATTGGAGAAGGAGAAGGAGAAGGCGAGATTGTGAGAGAGGAAGGAGTGTGAGGAGATTCCACACGATTGCTCCAAGCAAGTGGTTTTGTTGATTTCTTGGGGTTGCTTTGGGGAGAGAAAGACTTCAAGGTTAAAGATCATTGGATTCTCTACCTTCACCAGGAGGGGTGAAAAAGCTTCCATGTTCGTTGACTTCACCAGGTGGGTGAAAAGAGATTCCAAGATTCTCTACATCACCAAGAGGGTGAAAAGGCTTTCGGTACTCTACCGCACCAAGTTGGTGGAAGTAATTCTAGTAAGGGCTTCTTCACTTTGTTGTGAGGGCTAAAGGAATGTCACTAAGAGTTTAGTGCAATACCCGGAGATGACTCCGCAGAGTGAATGTAGGTCATTATTTGACCGAACCACTATAAAATCTGGTGTATCCGTTTTGTATTTCTCTTTGTGCATTTTTAATTTCCGTAATGTATATTTCCTGCGATTTATTTTCTTACAAATCTCTTTTGTGAACATTGTGATTTGTTTGGACTCATTTCATGGAAAAAACAAAAACGTTTATTTTTTGTCTTGTGGTTTCTACTAAATCAAAACACACAAAAAAATCATACATTGACTAGCCTTTGCAGTGTTAAATATCTATTTCAATTTTAAGATTTGAATTTGGTAATTAAGTTTTTTAAAAAAATTGAAAAAATCATATTTTTAAGCATCAATTCACTCCCTATGTGTTTTGATCTAGCTTAGTCTCTTGTGTGGTTTAACCTAAGCGAAGGTACTACTTAATTGTTTTCATTGTTGTGTTAAATCGCTCTAACGAGAATCTAACGTTGCTCTTAAAATAATCGTGCAAATTTCCAATTACGCATATAGTTCTACATCAATTTGGTAATTAAGTTTTAAAAAAAAATGAAAAAAATCATATTTTTAAGCATCAATTCACTCCGCTCTTGGTGTGTATTGGACAGTTCAACGAGGTTTAACACCCTCCCTTGAACTTTCACTCAAAATAATAAGCATAAAGCCATAAACACAAGATATATTACTCTCCTAAGCAAGTGGAATGAAGAAAACCCCACATTTTTAGTGGGAAGTTGAAATATAATAATTTAGGCAATTAAAAACTCAATACTATCGAGTAATTAGGTAATGATGGAATAATCAAACACTTGCTATTTAGAAAAATTGACAATGAAATTCCTATCTACGGAAGATTCGACAAGATGTTAGAGTTTGTCGTGAAACCAACACAAAAGCAAAAGGCGATGGACTAGAGCATATAACTGGTACCATTAAACATGATTTTGGTATTAATAGTGAAGTGGAGTTTGGAGATATTGAGAGAGAATTATGAGATCGTGATATGATCAAGAAAAATGAGTCAAAGAGAAAGTGAGTTAATTTAGTTCATATGAATGAGGGAGTTGGCACAAATAAGGTAAGGGGTATGGAAAAGGCAAGAGGCGTAATGTTGTTAGCAAAAGTGGGGCGCCTGCAAAGAGTGGGAAAGAAATTAGACACGTAAGGGTAAAGCACAAGAGGATAGTTACATAGCCATGTAGGCATCCAATACAAGCATGTGACTAGTGCGCGATGAGACATTTGTAAGATTATAGTAAAGCATCACACAATCGACACACATGAGAGTGCAAGTACACATGCGATAAATGTGTGAGCATGGAGCAACGCAAGCAAAGAGAAACAACGTGCAAATTGGCTTCGTGAGAATATTAATGTCATAGGTGTCTAATGTAGGCATTGAAACTTCACCATAATACAACATTGAAAGAAGAGAGTTTTCATGTATAGTTGTAGGAATGATACAGAAGAATAATTAGGAGAATATTCATATTTATGGGGATGTAACAGCATATCACCTAAGATATTCTAAAATATAACATTTCCTAATATTACTTGCCATATATATAACATAGTTAAATACTTTTATATTTTTAATTAGTTTTAATCTTTAATATTATTAAATATAGTTTTTAAGATCTTGTAACACAATACAACATTTTATAGCGATTAATAATGCCAGTTTCCTTATTTAGAATTTGAATTTGAGATGACCTGATTTTTCACATCTTTAGGTCTTGTATGAAATAGTGTATCAAACTTCTTACTCTTATTAGTATGCAATTTAAGTAAATTTATATGCTTATAATTTTTACTACAAATGTGTTTCTAACTTTTGAATTCATTGTATTATTGCATAAGTTAAATAAATCAATTGCATATCAACCTCTAATTAATACTCACTCCTGATTTTACTAGCTACACAAAAGGAAAATCAATCACATGCAGAGAAAAATATGCTCCTACCAACCACAGGATTTATGGAAGGGTTTATATAGGCTTCTTACAGCTGCTTTTGTAAAGACGCCTCATTTTACATTCTAATGTATAACTTCACAAGCACAATAGGGGCAAACTAAGAAATGCACCTTGTCCCCATCGAACGCAAAGACCAATCAAATGTTAAATACACATAAACCTGAGTAAAATATATCATTTTTACATTCATAAAGTTTATTTATATTTTATACCATTCAAAAAAGATCTCTCTAAGGAGCATCATCAGTAAACCTCAAACTATCAGCAATTAATCATCAGAACTGTCAAAACACTGAGAATAATCTTAATTTTACAGACCAGCTCATGAATAACTAAACTTCAAGCTTTCTCTTTTTTTCTTTTAATCATTTCCAAAAGTGCAAGAATCAGTTCTAGCAAAATTGCAAACATCATTGTTGTTCACCAATATGGTAGTGCTAAATGATCGATTTTCAGTGTAAGTTAAATACACAACTATTTGAAATTGGTCAAAAGTTAAAAAAAACAACAACAAGGAAACTGTAGAATTAGGACTAAAAGCTACACATCAAAAAAGGCACACTAGCTTTCAGCTATAAAATTAAAAAACAAAATTACCTTTTCATAGAAACACCGAAAAGACCATGAGACAGTTGTACAAGTCCTACAAAAAAAGCAAACCAATCGATTATTCAGGCGGTTGAGAATTAGATAATGATGCCTAGCTGCTTCAAATAAGACTGAGCCCGAATAATTGGGATAAGGCTAATAATGATGACCAGCTGCTTCATTTAGATATAATGCAAAGTCATGTTTTTTTATATTACAGAGATGAAAGTGGTACAGAATCACAAGCAGCACAAGAATAAATTCAGTTTTAACCAGATCACATAACCCAATGTCTCAAGAAACCAGATCCACACACACCAGTTTCTTCCAATAAGTTGTAATAACCCACATCAAGTCGTTAAATAAGTAAAATACCTACTTTGCTACCATTGTACTGCTAACAATAACAATCAAACAACAAAATATGCCTTGGCTGAAGTTCACACCACATATCATAAAAATAAATATCATGATGCTTCAAACATTGAGTTTGATATCCAACGATAATGCCCATTTCTAACACTTTGAGCTCAATTGCTTTTTTTTTTATTGCATGGTTATCAACCTGTGCCACTCTTTTAAACGTGGCTATATCAGTAGCCATATTACTTTTCAGCCAAGGTGCTATAATTTACAAGTTATTGCATAAGCATTTTGGCAAACTTCATTATCAAGTATTTTCTTTCAAAAATGTAGAAATACATGTCAAGCACATAAAATTGTTGACCAAGTTATTTAAATATCTGTTGTATCACATTATCTAGGGTCAGCTTTATAAATCCTCATACAACAATCATTCACGTCAAGTTGCTTGAGGTGTTAACTCTATTTACTCAAATCATTTTTCACGTCTCTTAACTATGTTACCTTCAATAAACTCATTTTTTCACACTAATCATTCCAAATTAATCTTATTTACTCATCTTATTGGTATATTTATCGCACCAACATGACCAAATCACATAAGTCCATTTTCAACAAAATTCTACCAACAAAACCTCTTTAATATAGTTATTTATCAATCTATCATCCACAATTAATTATTTTTAATTTTAGAAAAACGCAAATGATTGTCTTCACAATTTCTAAATAGAAGAAAGCAAAGAAATATCTTCCAAGCAAGTAATTCAGGAGAAACAAAACATAAACGTTTTAACACATGCATATTCACATGCAGAAGTATTTAAATAGGCAGACATTTGTTGGTGTGTATGGTAGCATGTAGATTCATGTTGGCATGTATCAGCATATGTCCATGCACACCTTCATGCTAAATATATGCTGCACAAGTTGGATAAAATGACTTTTTTTTATGGTACTCATTATTCAATTAATATGGTGAATGTACCAGAAATCCAAGTACAAAGCATTTGAATAATTGAAAAAGAAACAAATAATACATATACTCACTTTGGCGGCTTGAAAGATTCTCCAACTTGACGCCATAGCTTGCATTGAGTAACCTACAAATATTATGCACATCAGCAATTAAGTACAACAATAACAACAATATCAAGCCTTTATCCCAATATCCCAATATGTGGGGTCGGCTACATGAATCCTTTTCTCGATTATGTGTTGATAAGAGTTAAATTCTCATTTGAATCTAATAAAGAAATGTCATTTCTAATATTTTCTAACCAATTCTTTTTAGGTCTACCTCTACTTTGTTAACATAAGTCAAATCTAATACACCAACAATTGAATAGATAAGAAAAAATATATCACCAAAAAAATAGGCATATTAGTTGAGCCAAAGAAAATTTTCAATTGTGAGGATGATGACACATGCTGGAAGAATGCTATATAACAGAATAGGTTTGATATACTTTACCAGGAAGCTGTAAGCCAACTTCTTTTCATTAAAACCACAAAATGATGGCGTGCAGTTAATCAGAAGTTTCATGCTCAATAAATAGAAAAATCATATGCCAAATGCCAAAGATATTTTCGATTTTCAAACTTAGTGAATCAAAAAGTAAAATGTCTTCCTAAAATCTATATAACAGATGACAGGCAACGTTAGTTTCAAATACCATGTAATTACAGAACCAAAAGAACCTCTAATATACGTCAATAAAACAAGCATAGAAGTGAAATTATTGAAGTTATACAATAGAGTGAATTCGGTATCATCTATTTAGAGAATCAATTACTCATATCCAAATTTATTCTTAATTTTTCAATAATTCAACATTCAAATGGCAAATGAAAGCCATTCAATCTATCGTTAAAAATAAAAAGTTGAAAAAAATATCGAAACTTTCAAGATGATTTGGTCCTGCATTTTATAAACTTCTATACATTCTCCATTCATCAAGCAAGCAAATATTACACCCTAATAGGCATTATAAATGGTGAGAATCAAATCATAAATGTTGGTCTGCTCAAATACTCAAATCAAACGAAATGCTATGTACCTTAACAATGTCTAGAATGATTTCAATGGTTTAAATTCAAACAAGATGGGTAAAAAAGTATTTTTAGAAAAAGGAATTATGTGCCTCGTGTTTGATGTTTGACATGTTACCATGAATAGATAGAAAGTGCTGAAATCTGATCACATTCTTATTATCATAGGGTAGTTATTACCTTATAAGCAAAAAATACACTCTATAGGAATAACTAACTAAATAATGAACTTCTTTCACATTAATGTATAAGATAGAATATCACTACATGCATGCAAAAGACATCTATGTCCAAGCAATAACCAACAAACAATAAACGAAAATCATCATATCAAAACTACAGAAATTTGAAACTATTATACCACTCTATTCAGATTATATGCATCAAAAGAAAAACAGTAAATGCCCTAAATCCTAAACCCTGATTCTGAATGATTACATATTTCGAAAGAAGAAAGTAGATGGACATCAATGAAAAATAAATGAAATGCATGCCTGATCATAGCCACCCAGCCTTGTAACTGCTCTCCATAATCTGCTTATCAAAAGATAAAATTATAACACACCAGCAAAGAGAACAACTGTAATCAAATCAACTTAGGTATTAAACAATGAACTAAATCTTACTTCAAGCAATTCAAGCCTTCTCCATAAAACTTCGGTGGTTTGAACTCCAAGCTTTTCTCCTTAAAGAAATTTTCCAACTCCTTCATAAAAGCAGCTTGTGTTTCCTCTGTTCCAGAATCATCTCCTTCACGATAATTTGGATCAAAAGAACCCTCAGCTTGAAAACGGTAGCGCCCACCAAAACCTTCCTGCTTCAAGGTCAAGGGAGTCTCACTAAAGTGCTCATCTTCTAACTGAGCATCCTTCATATCTGTCACTAATATTGTGCCACCATTCTCAAGTTCCTCATAGCTTTCCTTCTCAAAATCATTATCTCTCACCTCTTTGTCATCAAAATTAGCCTTTTGCACCATATTGATCCCCAATTGAATTGCCGAAAAACTAAGTACATCATCATTTGACTTATCCTCTGATTTCACATCTGTGTCCACGGCCAACTTATCAGCTATCTCCTGCCCGAGAAAAGCAGTTTTCTCCAAATTGGTCTCTGCCTGCAACTGACTACTATGCTCATCTACAACTTTTATTACAGGATGCCCAAGGTCTCCATCCTTTACTTCAGCATCTATCCGTCCAGCCTCAGATACCTCTTTCATTTTTTGCACAGACCCATTCTTCTCTATTTGCTCACTCATCCTGACTGTATCATAAAAACCAAACCATCCAAATATATAAATAAAACAATTAAAACTCAAATTCTGTGCCAGCGAAAATACAAATCCATCATCAATCAATAATGCAACAACTCAACACTCTGAACACTCTTCTTCTTTACGCAACCACTCCCTACAACCCTGTTCCCTGCAAAGCCCTCATGCCATCAGAACAATTAAATATCGCAAAAAGTAGAGCAAAGTACCCAACTAAAACCCTAAAATCTCAGCCACGAAATAGCAATTTCCGAAGCCGCTATCTCGGAGAAAGAGAACCTTGCAAAAGAAACCCTAGATAAAGCTAAGAAACGACGATAGCAGGTCAGAGAATCTAAAGCATCACGGCGAACCTTATCTTCCCAGCCCTCGTTCAAGTGGGGCTTAGCTAAAGTCTTAGATGCTTCAAAGAGTCTCTTATGGCGGGATAACGTCTCGCTGTGAGCTCCTCAGAAAAGCCCTAGTGAGTGGTGATCCAGAGAAAGAGCCTGGGAACCCAAAGGTGATGTCCGGTCACCTTCTTCCATATAATTTGTGCTTCTTCTTCGCCGCAGGATAAAGGACGAAAAATTGGAAAATAATAGATAAATATTCATGGTAGAGGTGACTTTGGCGGTTATGTTACCGGAAGGCTGGCTTGCGCCCAACCGTCCGATCTGTCGCTCCATTAATAACAGCCGCAGGATCAAACATATAATTTTGAGCAAAGGTTCAAATAAGTTCAAACAAAACTAAATTGTGTTGATCTTTATTTAAAATGTTTGAATAAATTTTGCACATGTTTCAAAGATTATTGAGATTGTTTTAGGGTGATTTAATCATCCATCAAACGGCAAATGTGATTGGACGATAGCTCTAAAATGACAACTAGCAAGGATATTGAAGTCGGACAACCAAAGGATTTATGGTTTAGAGTATAAAGATTATTTTTTATTCTAAAAAAATCATAGCCTTCCAATCTGATTATTAAGGGAAAGATCGTCCCTACCAATTTATACTAAAAAGCACGCACTCTGAATTTGCCAAAAATTAAGAAGAGACAGACGAATATTTTGCATGACACTATACAATTAGAGTGGCACTTATTTATTCAGAAGCGGTGGCATTTTTATCCAAAATGAACTTTCAGACAAATTTCTTACGAAAAAAATAGCAATCATATAAACTCAAATATCTTATTTGTTTAGCTAAAAAATTGCAAAATAAATGTAATGCTGCGTGTTAAAAGCATTTTTTAGTTATTATGTGGACTACACTGGAAATGAAGAAAATTATTTTTATATTTGCTCCAATCCTAGGTTAACCTTTGACCGAATTGACTCATATCTAATTTGAACTCGCCCACTCAATCAAAAGTCATTAACTAGATCCATCAATCGACATAGAGTTAATATTGACTTATATATGGCAAAAGTTTAAGTTAGGCCGGCTAAGCCCTGTCCAACCTAAATCAAAACTTAGTCCGAAGAAACTTAATGAACCTTGAACCCATGAATTCACTTTAGGTCATCCAAATATACAAAATTTCACCTCATTGTCCCATTGAATCAACTCTAACCTAACCAAAGTCATAGTTTCTTTTCAAAGTCAACATAGGCCTTATCTAGCCCAATCTATGTATTAAATCCACAAGAAAAAATTTATAATAGCCAAGGCTTAGGCTTGACTCACCTAATTGTAGAATCACCCAAGTCAGCATATGTGAAATCCCTTAAGTAAAAAAGAAGCTAAACTCTTAAATTGAAATGCCTTTTGGTGTAATTGTTATAATTTCATTAAAAAACTCAGCAATTAAGCGTGCTAAAAAAAATTATGTAGTTTTGGTTGTTTAAATTGAAATATAAAATAATAATTATTTTAAATTAGATTTTGGGGCGTGATAAATGATATCAGAGCAATACACCAGTTAAAAAGATTGGAACTAAGTGTCATATAAGACAAACTACTACGTCGTAGGAGTTACCTCTTGAATCCTATATGGGATAAAGTGCTATGCAGCGGGAGTCACCACTTGAAATTCTAGGGGCCACTTCTAGAATCCTATATGCCTGGTGGATGATTATGGGATAAAGATACTGACGATGACATCACTTACTTAAGTAGAGAAGATTGTGAAAACCCTTAAGTAAAAAGAAATTAAAATCTTAAATATTGAGGTGCCTTTAGTTATAATGGTTAGAATTTTATTAAGTAACTCCGTAGTTAAACATGGTCATCCTAAAGAAATATTGGCATGTGTGACCTCATGGGAAGTTACACCACAAAGGGAACAATATCTCGATAGTTAAGAGTTTGGATTGTTACAGCCTAAACCACTACCATAAACCCTTAAGTAATCACTAAAACAAAATTAAGTTAGCCTAATAAAATAAATCCCTAAAAGCCAAGGCATGAAGATGCCATGAAAAGACCTTGGTACATCAAGCAAACTCCTTAAACTTTCATTAATTGATCATTCATTAAGTTAAAGAGTAATGCAAGCAACATCAATCATTGGAAATAAACTTTGAGGAAAATGGGTGTATAAACTTAGCACAAGTGACCAAATTGGTATGATTATTCACTAATAAACTCTCTTGTGACTTCCCCTAGAGCTTCATTGTCCATTGTCTCCTTATAAAACTCCTAAAATGACCAAAACTTGCATGAAGTTATTTAAGCTTCATCGATAGATCTAATATTGCTATTTATAACTCAAGCAAATATTTATGGATATTTATTGAAGTCCAGGGTAATGTTCCTGATAGAAATTTAGATTCTATATGCTTTAGGTGCGATGCTTAACTCTGCTTGTGAAAGATTGTTTGATACTCTTGGTGAAGATGTATTGGAGCATGTGAGGGGGAGTTACGCTCTACCCATATACACCAATTTATAAACTCTTTTGATATAAAAAAATTGGAGCATACAAGAGGGGATTAAGAGATATTTGTTTTCCTCTCATCTCCAAGGATACTTATAGGTGAAAAGAGAAAGAAAGAAAAGAATAATAATTATAATAAACTTTGAAAATTGTATTAATTAATGCAAAAAATTACATTTATTTGATTTTTAAAATGTTTGCATATTTTATGAGAAATTAGTAATTAAAAAAAAAAAAGAGATATTTGTTCCTAGAATGGGTGGATCGTCTTTTCCAATGTAATATTTTCATGATCCCATACCTATTTGTCAACTTAAGCTAATGCAATGACTTTGCCTTCATTTATAATGCAAGCAAACTTTGCATTAAACTAACAAGCTACTTAATTTATCATTATTGAAAGATGTATTTAATCTCATTATCATTTATTAATATGAGATAAGTTAGTTGGAATTTTCCTTTTGTACTTGCAATTTTATTTCATTTATTAATTTTGTATAGTTTGTAGTATTTTTGTGTTCGATCTCTATCAAATTTCTTAATAAAAGTGGAGTCAGAGTGGGGCCCTCGGGGCACGAGCCCCCACTGACTTATCATAAAATATTTGAAAGTTACTTATCAATTTGTTCTAAAAGCTAAAATCCACAAAGCACCTAAAATTCACATAATAGTTGATTTTAATTTTAAAAATAAAGCAAATTTGCTACTGGGTTTCGAACCCAACAACTCTTGCTCTGTTAACCAGTGTCTCATCTAGTAGACTGCAGAGCAAATTATTTTAAACTTTAACCTTTATTTAAATTTTAAATTATAAATATAATTTTTTGCTTTCTATATTTATAAAAGAGAAAAGAAATAACCTAAAAAAATTGAAATTATTTTTACTTATATAAGATCAAGCTTGAGTTCACTGCTTAATAATCTCATATTTTTTTACTTTAGGGCAAGTACAAACCTTTTTTGCTTTAAGTTATATAATGTATAATTTCATATTGGATGGACCTCTCTTCTTGGCTTTTTCATGTTAAAAATTTGGTGTTTTATTGCTTGCTTTCTTTTATTTATGTCTTTGCAAGGAGAAATTTTTTTCCGTGTAGACACCACACGGTCTGGAGACCAACCAAAACGCACCATGTTATCCGGTATACAACAGTATCGAGCACCGGTACCGAGCAAAAAGTAACGTGGCGCGTTCTAATTGATCTCCGGATGACGCCCAGCGTCCGCAAAGAATAATTTTTCCTCAGCAAGATCTTTGTGTAAATCTAGCACTTAAAATTATCTCTCGAATTTATCTAGCATAGAACACTTTTGAAGCCAAAAGATTTTTTGATGGGATTGAAGTCAAAGTCGAAACAAAGGCTTCGTTTGGGATGATTTTCTTACTGCTTCTTAAAACTTTTTTTCTAGTGCAAAAATATTAATTTTTGGACTAAAAAAACTATTTTAAAAAGTAGTAATAAAGCTGTCCTAAATGAAGACTAATTTTTAAAACCCCGATTTTGATTATACTATAAGAGATCATTTGGTTTCATAAGCTAGAAATATATTTTATTTAATTGATAAATTTGATATATTTACTTATATGATTAGACTTCATTTGAGATATTTTTTTTGTTATTTCTTTTGAGTTTATGTTTGATATTGTTATGTTATGAGCTGATTAATCTCCCTATAAATTCAATAATATTAATATAAATTATATAAAGACATTTTTATATAATTTTTAAATTAGAAAAAAAATCATTAATCAGCAGCTAAATATTTCACGAGTCCCTTCACGTTTATTGGAATCAGTTAAATTTCTCGATCTAATCAATTTTCTGAAATCGAGCGGCGCGTTGATTGGCCGCGCGTTCGCGGTGTCCTTGCACCCGGACAGACAGCCGCTTCATCGGACGAACCGCTTCTCACCACGTGGCCTCATAATGACCGTTCCCTCCCTTCGCCTCTTCTCGAGCCTGCTACTAAAATGGCCCCACCTGATGGGATTAAAAGAGAAGAGAGCAGAGCGAGAGAGACTGAAAGCAGAACCCTTCCTTATCTCTTTCTCTTCAGCCTTAGCTTCCCATCCTCTCTCCTCTTCTAGAGAGAGAGATATGGCTCCGAAAGCTGGCCGCGGCAGGGGAGCGAAAGGCAAAGGCGAGAAGAAGAAAAAAGAGGAAAAAGGTTGGTTCTATAATTTATTTTTTACAGTATTGTATTTGTATTATATTTTTGGCTTATTTTCTGCTGTTCGATATCGATTTTGTAAATAATTTATTTAGAAAAAAATTGTTTATTATTTTTAAAATTTTTGCAGTAGTTCCTAATGTGATTGATATAACTGTAATAACTCCATGCGAGACTCGAATTACACTGAAGGTAAATTAAATATTTAATTGCAATATATTTCGTTTTTTTTAATTTTTATTTATTATTCAAAATTATTAATTTATTATGCCTTAAAAGTTCCGCTCGTTAATTACAGGGAATATCCACTGATAAGATAATAGATGTGAGGAAGTTATTAAGCTCAAATGTTGAGACATGTCACGTGACAAACTACTCGCTGGCGCACGTGGTAATTAATTAATAATTAGATTATTTTGATTTTGATTTTTTTATATTTTGAAATTATAATTTTGTTTTGTGTTATAATGCAAATAATTGTAGGCACGGGGGCAACGGTTGAATGATGGCGTGGAAATCGCGTCTCTCAAGCCTTGTGTGCTGCGACTGGTGGAAGGTAGGCAGGCCGCGCCTCTCTTATAGATAGCAGATTATTTGAGTTTGAATAATTTAGGTTTGGTTTGGGACGGTTTTCTCACTGCTTCTTAAGCAGTTTTTTAGTACAAAAATTTTAATTTTTGTACTAGAAAGCTGCTTTAACAAGCAGTAAAAAAGCCGCCCGAACGTGTTAATTAGGCTTCGCTTCTTAAGGCAGTTTTTTAGTATAAAAATTTAAAATTTCGTACGAAGAAGTTGCTTTAAGAAGTAAGAAAGCTGTCCCAAACAAAACTTTAATTTATAATCTGTTTGAGATAGTTAATATATTTTATAAAATTAGTTATGAAGTTATTATGGAGAAAGTAAATTTATTATTATGGCTGCAAAGATTAGCGAAACGGCAAGAAAGTTGTCCTGAACATACTCTTAGGGTTCATTTATGAGAGCTTTCTTAATGCTTTCAAAAGTAATTTTTGTGTACAAAAAATTATTTAATTAACAATTTTTGTACTAGAAATTTTTTTTAAAAAGAGTAAGAAAAATATCTTAAATGAAAATTTAGTCTATGGATTATACAAATTTGAGCTAAAATAACACCACTTGTTGTGATTGGATATAAATTTGATCTTAGTTTAGTCCATTGACTACATAAAATTGATCCCAATTTAGTCTTAGTGGTATAATTTTGGATTTGTTTTATATGATAATTGGAGCATCATGATATTCTGGGATTAAATTGGCCGTATAGAAACGCTGATCAATTGATTGTTTTGTAGTCTTGGGTTTCATCTTATACAACTTTCTTACTGCTTTCTAAAGCAGCTTTTCAGTACAAAATTCTTAGTTCAAACATTTTTTACTAAAAAATTATTTTAAGTAGTAAGAAAATTATCCCAAATGAAGCGTTAGTTATACTTACAAAAATTATTTTTTGTGTGATCAATAAGTCGATAAATGATTTTATGCCAAAATTAAATGTGTAGATATTGATGTAAAAGGCAATATATATTCCTTTATTCATGAATATATGTGCACAATTATCTAATAAATAATTTGATATTTTATTTAAATTGGCCATCAAAATTAAATGGAAATTTATTCCCTTGTTTGATTTAATATTTAACCAAATGCAAATAAGTTTCAACACCATTAAGTTTATAGGCTTTGTTTGGGACAATTTTAGACTTATTCTTTTTTCCTTCTTTCAAGATATTTTTTAATGAAAAATAACTCTACAAAGCAGTAAGAAAACCGTCTCAAACAAAGCCTTGATATAATATCATATTTAACTTCTAATCAAATAATCATTATAGTATATTTTTTAATAGTTATTCAAAGTCAATTAAGTTATTTTTTTCTCTTTGCTATTATTCATTCATAGAAAAACATTTCATAATCAAATGGAGAGATTTTCTAGAAACCAATTTGTTTTTAGTGTAATGAGACAATTGAGGCATTTGTAAGAAACCTATATTTTGAAAGGCAGATTTTGCATGTCTTAAAAATTTCTCTTTAATGAAAATAGTCTTTAAGATTTTATTTGAGACAACTTTTTTACTGTTTTTTAAAGCAGTTTTTTAGTACAAAAATTTCTACTACAAAAAATTTTTTTGTAACATAAAGCTGCTTTAAAAAGTAGTAAGAAAGTTGTTCCAAATGAAATAAACATCATAATAATTAGAAAGGGCTACCTCGATATAGTCATAGTACCCGGGCATCCTCCCATCTCTACTTTCATGTAGAGCATGCATGTATATTCATATTTTCTTAGAAGACATTTTGATAAATTTAATCAATATTTTGTAATATTTCATCAGATATCTTATATTGATAATGGATCATTTTTTCAACAATCTTAATGACCTAGAATTGAAAATTCTTAGGCTCGTCGGATTCATCCCATACATCGATATGCTCAATTTAACTACAAGCACAAAAGACTCTGCAATTGTTTGATCATTTAATCAATATGTTCTAAATTTTAACCACATTTCAAGTGCTTGATTATGGCTCATTTTGATTTAGATTTAGATTGAATCATTTCGGTGCTGTTGGGTTCGTTTTGTCGAAATTAGAGTTTAGATGATCCTTGATTTAAATCTGCTAGTTTTCGACTCAAATGTTGTATCCTAATTCATATTTGATCTAATGAATTCTTGAAGAATTATAAAATTTCTTAAAAATATATTTGATTTTAGGATTTTTTTTTTTGAATGATAACTTTTTTATTGTTATTAAAAGCTATTTTCTAGTAAAAAAATTCTAATATAATAAATTTTTATACTAAAAATTTATTTTAGAAAATAGTAAGAAAGTCGTCCAAACGAAGTTAAATTTAGATATGTGAGTATTTATGTGCCACAGTTTATGGTTGCAAAAAGGACAATATTGTAATTATAACCACATTAGCACCGGTTGATGGGATTATGAAGCAATAGCAATGCGGTTGGGAAACTCGAAAGCTATGTTGCAGCTTTATTTGTTCAACAACTAAGTCCTTTCATGGCTGATAACAACTAATGATATTTACTTAGTTCAAGACTTTCATAACAATTCAATGATGTCCTTAATTTGATTCCAAAGTAACAGTTAAAGTTAATCCTAACAATTAAATATGAGGATATTTTAGTCATTAGCATATTTATGTGATTATAATATTATTTTTATATATTTTATTATTTATCATATTAAAATAAAAAAATCATATATAATTTTTGTGCTTAAAAATTATTTTAAAAATAAGAAGAAAGCCGTCCCAAATAGGAGCTAAGTTAAGTTTTTTATTATTTTTTTAATATTATGATTTGGTTATTATTTGCATATTTATTTGAATAAAACTCTCGCACGTGCAGAGGAATATGTGAGGGAAGAGGATGCCGTTGCGCAAGTGCGGAGGTTGCTGGACATCGTCGCTTGCACGACTGTGTTCGCGAGGCACCAGAACAGGGATGGGGGCGGCAAAGCCCGAAAGCAGGCGGCGCCTCCTACTTCGGCCGCAATGGCCGCCGGTTCTCCAGCTATATCGTCGGCCGCTGCCATCTCCGTCGATGATGAGTTTCAGGAGCTTCCCGTTCCCGCCTTTTCCGAGGAGTTTGACATGGCGGCCATACAACCACAACCGAAGCTCGGCGATTTCTATGATTTTTTCTCCTTCTCCAACTTAGCCTCTCCCATCCAATGTATACCCTCTGTCCCTCCCCTCTCTTTCTCTCTTATGTCCACTGTCTTTTTCTCTTCTCTGGTTTTCTAAAGTGATTATGTTTCTTTTGCGAAGTTATAAGGAGGCGCGAAGTAGATCCTTCCGAGAAGTGGCGAGAAAAGGAGCACTTTGAGATTGAGGTGGTTGTTTTATTCAGAAATTTGATTCATTCATCTATTAAGGACCCGAATGATGTGAAAGTGCTCGACGAACTGTCACATACAGAATAATCAATTTCGAGCTCTGATGAGTGTCGAGTCAATTATTTTTCACTGTCTAAAAGTATTTTGGAGGATTGTTTTAGGTTTCCCTTTGGAGGATTTTGAATTGTACTTTTGATGCATTAGGAAATGCTGTTGTTTTGTAGCATGAATGGTAGACAGTTAAAGCTCATGGTTTGATACAGGTCAAGGTTTGCAATGGAAAATTACTACGTGTGGTGGCGGGATTTAAAGGTTTCTACAGCACCGGAAAGCATTTTATTCAAAGCCATTCTCTTGTAGATCTACTGCACCAGCGCAGCAGGGCGTTTTCCAACGTGGGTGAACTTAATTCAATTTTTTTTTGTATTTACTGTTTTTGTTAGTCTACTGAATTCCTTTTCTTCATTGAATGCAGCTATGTTAATTCTATCTTATGGTAGTATTGTGATAACATGCAGGCCTATGATTCCCTGATGAAAGCTTTTGTAGACCATAACAAGGTGTTTTTTTCTAAACTGCATGTCTGATACTCTTAGCATTGCAACTCGAATTTTCAGGTGGCCCTTGTTGGTTCACTCAGAAGGTAAATCTTTAAAGTTTTTTTTTTTTTTTTTTTTTTTTTTTAAAGTTTTTTTTTTTTTTTTTTTTCAGTTTGGGAATCTACCATATGGATTTCGGGCAAACACATGGCTTGTGCCTCCAGTGTTTGCTGAATCTCCTTCTAAATGTCCCTCGTTGCCAGTAGAAGATGTCATGTGGGGACCAAAGGGTCATGCATGGAGTTTTGACTGCAGAAAATGGTCTAAAGATTTCGCAACTTTGGCTGCATTTCCATGCAGAACTGAAGAAGAAAGACTGGTTCGAGACCGCAAAGCTTTTTTGCTTCACAATCTGTTTGTGGAAACTGCAGTGTTGAAAGCTACATCAGCAATTCGTAAACTTATTGATTCCAATGCAAGTGCTGCCCATGGTGTTTTGCATGGTTCGGTAGTGCATGAAGAAAATGTTGGAGATCTGAACATAGTTGTAAGAAGGGACTTTCCCGATGCTAGTGGAAAACTGGAGGAGAAGGTTGAGGGGAGCCAAGTGCTGAATATCTCTGAAGAAGAGCTTGCAGTAAGGAATATTCTCAAAGGTTTGACAGCTAATGAGAGTGTGGTTGTCAATGTAAGAATGCTAATTTTTCGAAATTTTTGTTCTTTTCTACTTTGCATCACTCTTTTTATTTAGAATTGGCAGAATCATTTATGTGCAGGATACTGCAACACTGGGCATAGTCATTGTAAAACATTGTGGATATACTGCCACTGTTAAAGTGTCACCTTGTGTGGATCACAATAATAATTCTCATCATGTTTTTGAGATAGAAGACCAACCAGAAGGTGGTTCTAATACTTTGAACATAAACAGGTTTGATTTTTCTAGAATCATCCTTATTTATGAAGGGTCTGTGAATTGCAGAATATTGTTGAGAAATTGCTGTACACTGCACTGATATACTATGTAGTAATCATAGTTCGTAAAGAAATTTTGCTAATATTCTTCATACTAGGCACTACAAAAATGAATTTTGGTTTGTTATTTTGCACTAAGCGGTTTACAAATTTTTATGCAGCTTAAGAGTGCTTCTACACAAGTTGCCTGATCATGAATCATTTGTGGGATGCCTACCTTCTTGTAATGATTATGTTGAAGTAAGGGCTGGAAGGTGTTTGGTTCACAGAATAATTAGTGATAGTCTATACAATCTAGAAAAGGTGCTTGGCTTTACTGAGAAGGCATTCAGATGGGAACTTGGAACTTGTTGGCTTCAGCACTTGCAGAAAAATAAGAATTCAGCAGTTGAGGGTGATAATGAAAAAGAGGAAGACAATTTTGTTGAACCAATTGTTAAAGGTTTTGGAAAGCAATTTGAACAGTTAAAAAGAATAAGAAAGAAAACAAACACCATCCATAGCAAGTCTGTCAAGGAAGATTCTAACGTCGATGATGCTCAATTAAAAGAAATTAGTAATGCAGAGAAACTAGAAGAACTTGAAGGAAATGAGAACTATGAATTGAAGAAAAGGATAACAGAAGAAGCTTTTAAGTTTTTGATAGATTCTGGCACTGGTCTTCACCAAAAGGTGAGCTTTTAAATATTAGCTGCACATGGTCTCTTTCGTTAGTAGCTTGCTATCGACTGTGCTTTTGCATTATACTAGCTAATAACCCGCACAAATGGGCTGTTAAAATGACTAAATTTAAATAATTATTAGAAACAAAAATATTATTCCAGTAAGGTATTGAAATAATCAAGTTGTCATATAAAATTTACTGCAAAAACAAAATCAATATGCACAAATAAAACTGCTTATACAATGTAAAATTCAATATTCAAGTGTAAATAACTCAAGTGTTCATTTATTGTTATACACATTATTTGACAGAAGATCATAGTTCTTATGGTGTTTTGTTGGGCACACTTGATTCCAAATGGCCCCAAATACTATTTAATTTTTTATAATCATATTTTTAATGTAATTTGTTATAATAATATTGTCTGTTTAATAATTATATCATAAACTAAGTTTTATTTGTATATTAGTTTATAAATGACATATATGCATTTAATATTATAAATTACTTGTGTTATATAAAGTAATTAATTTACTCATTATATTTTAGTAAAATATTTCAATTAATAATTTGATGATATTTTTTTTATGGCAACACTATATTAATATATTTCAGAGTGTTTGTTAAACAATTTAATTTACAATATAGGTATTTGCGCCTCGTTCTGTTTTATATGTAATTAATGTAAATAGACATGCAATTATTTACTTATTATTTTATAGACCAAAGATACAAATATGGCACATCATAGCTATGTATAAGCTTTTTCATAATTTTTGGATTTACTTCTTGATTGTTTACATTATTTTAAGGGCTGTATAAATTAATCATCTCATAATAATGCAAATCCCAACTTAGCCTAGATTTACTTGAACTAATGTAGCTCAAGTTATGTTCGTCTTATGGGCATGTAAATGATGCATGGCATGAAATTCTAGGTAAATCAGGCTGAAATGTGTGAAAATAGAGTTTCGAAGGTAAAGGTGTTGTCATCATCAAATATAGATATTATTACTTTGTATAAAGGTGTACAAGTAAGATGTTGCTATCTAGTGACTGATGAAGCTCTAAGAATAATGATAAAGGTAATAGTCAATAAGCTTAGAACTGGAACTTGCACAGAAATTTTAATGAAATAACTCAAGTATGTCCACGTGATATGAAGCTGATGAAGAGATTAATGATGTAATGAGATAGAATATTAAACAATTTCGATCATAAGTATATAGACGACTCTATGTCTCTATCATATTAGCATTTGAACATTCAATATATAGATCACCAAGTAAACATATAGAGCAAGATATGATTAATTGCATGATGTTTGATTATGATGATGGAAATATCACAATCCTTAGATTAAGGAGATTAGTAGGTACAATTTAATCTATTTTACTTAACTGGAATAGCAAGAGCATGCAAGCATTCAATCATCACATTATCATGTTAATCAAATAAGTGCTAGCAAATCTAGCTATAAAGAAAGTGGGCACCATGATTTTTATGATGTTTAGCCTAACCTGACCTATGTTCATGCTTAAACATCCACTCACTTGAAATTCTAGTTGCAATTACTATTTCGCTCGCAAGCCAATGAAGAAAATGCCAGTTGTTTGCCTACACGCCAATGGATAAACCACTACACCTTCATAGAGAAAGAGCAACATCACCTTGATTTTAGGCAAATGCACCTCTCTAAGGCCTAAGCTAAAGTTAAGCAATTCATAAGGAAAAATCATCCAAAGTTTTGAAGACTTTGTTGGTGAATAAGTCTATCACCAACACTTACATTACAAATAATTTCTTACAAAATATTTTCAAAATATACAAAGCAAACACACAAGTACACTATAAGAGATTTTAAGAGGTGTTACACTAATAACACGCATGGAGAGATGATGAGCATGAATACTTTGAAGTTGTTTAATAGATGAATCCTTTTAGACAAAGTAATTCTTTTGGTTTATTTTTTAATTTTAGAGTGGAAACCTGTTGATGGAAAAGTCCCCCTCAAATTTAAGGGAAAATTCTATAAGATGGTGGTGAGACCTATAATGCTTTATGGTGCCGAATGTTGGCCATTAAAAGAGAAGCATAATACTAAGTTAAGTGTGGCAGAGATGAGGATGCTTAGGTGGATGAGTGGCTTTACCCTTAGAGATAGGATACGGAATGAGCATATACGTGAAAAGGTTGGAATAGCTCCAGTGGAAGATAAGATTAGAGAGAGTTTCCTTAGATGGTTTGGTCACATTAAACGGAGGCCTTTTGATGACCCAATTAGGAAAGTTGAGGTATTAGATTTGACTTATGTTAAGAAAGGTAGAGGTAGACCTAAAATGACTTGGTTAGAAAAAATTAGAAATTATCTTTCTTTATTAGATTTAAATGAGAATTTAGCTTTTAACATGACATAATTGCGAAAAAGGATTCATGTAGCCAACCCCACGTAGTGGAACAAAGGTTTGATGATGTTGTTGTTGTTGTAGAGTGGAAACCTGTAGTTTTAAGGCTTAGAGATGAACAAAAATCGGAAAGAATTGATTGCGTATTTTATTCTAGTATTTTTGTAGCATTTATGCAATCCTATGAGATCTAAGAAATATGCAAAATAAGGGAATACTAAATATAGAATTATTATAACAATCCATAGATTGATGCGTAGGCAGAATAATAATATATAAAAATTATAATAGCCAACAAATTGATGAGTAAACAAAAGGTATATCTAAAGATTGATAAGTTGGTTGTGTAAGTGGAAGGAAAGATGATAAATTTTTTGGTGAGTATTGGTTAAAATTGATGAATTATACAAGCATTGCATACTCCCTTTATCAAATGAATGGATATCATATATTCTAAGCTTGTATGATAAATTGTAGAAGACTACCCCCATAATCCTTTAGTGAGAATATTAATAAATTGTTCACCTGTAATTATGAACGGAGTTTAGATTCAACAACTATTATGCTTCTCCTTTATAAATATCTATCAATTGTAATATGCTTTTTACGGTTTTATTGCATGGGATTATTTGAATTGTTGATGGTTTGTTATCCTAATAAAGCCTCATAAGACCTTTTCATTTAGCCTTTAAATCTTACATGATAAATTTTAGCAATAGTAATTTGCGAATTCCTAGGGCCATAGATCTAAATTTGGCTCTATGCTATGTTTTGCAAATCAATTTTATCTTTCAAAATTTTATTCATGCATTTTTTCTCCTAGGAATGTGTAATATGTTGAAGTTGACCTTTTTGTCAACCATAAAACCAATATGATCTTCATCTGTGTATGCTTAAAGTGTTTAATCCTTCTTTTATTAGATTGGGCATGAATTGACACACCACATCAATAATATAGGCAAAGTTAGGTATAGCTATGATATGTAGATATTCTTTCCACCAATCTTTCAATAGGAGGCCTTTTCTACTACTCTGTCTTCTGGAGCATCTTAAAGTTTATATATAATTAAATTTATGAAGCTCTAGACATGTTTATATTCTAACTTACCCATTTTTTTTCAACATGTATATTTTTGTTGTGATAGAAGTATCTTGTTGAGAGTATGAAACTTCAATGCCAAGACAATTCTTTAATTTGCATAATTATTGACTTCAAAATTTTGGAGCAACTTTTTTTTTTGGGATTTATATAATACAATATAATTCTTATATATTTACATATCTTACACTTAAATCTTTATATTTACTCATATAATATTGAAATATAAAAAATGTATCAAAAGTATTACTACTATTAACTTATTTAAAACAAAATACACTTTTTCCTGTGTATGTTCTAATGTGATTTGGACACTAAAATGATATATAAGTAAATATAAAGATTTTTGTGTTAGATATGTAAACACATAAGAATTTTATAGTATTGAAGGTTTCCTAATTATGTTTATATTGTTTATAAATGTTTCTTAAATTATGTTTAATTTGTTTAGGAAAGTTTTCTAAATCATATTTAATTCTTTAGGAAGGTTTTCTAAATTATATTTAATTGTTTAGAAATATTGCAGAGATGAGAATGTTCAGGTAGATGAGTGGCTTTACTCTTAGAGACATGATACGAAATAAGCATATACATGAAAATGTTGGAGTAGCTCCAGTGGAAGATAAGATAGTGAGTCGCTTAGATGGTTTGGTCACATAAAATGGCAGCCTTTTAATGACCCGGTTAGGAAAGTAGATGTGTTTGATTTGACTTATGTTAAGAAGGGTAAATGTAGACCTAAAAGACTTGGTTAAAAAATATTAGAAATGACATTTTTATTAGATTTAAATGATAATTTAACTTTTAATAGGGCACAATGGAAAAAAAAAAGATTTATGTAGCTGACCCCACAGTGGGATAATGGCTTGTTGTTGTTGTTGTTTAGGAATGTTTTCTAAATTATATTTAAATTGTTTAGGAATGTTCTATTTATGTTATTGTGTTCTAGGATTATTTAAGGGATACATCACAAGCGGATGTGGGATCGATGAATGAACGTATTTCAACAATATAATGTAGGTTTGCGAATTTGGAAGATATGATGAAGAAAATGATCGAGATGCAGTCGAAATGCTCAGCATTGATTCCTAGGGCTGAACCAAAGGGAAAACAATTATAGAGGAGATGATGAGAAAACTCATGGAGATGCGATCCAAAACCCAACGACGGTTCCAATTGCTAATCCTAATCAAGATTTGATTAAGATTTCCTTGGCCGAATCTAAAGGGAAGGAGATCAGACTAGAAGAGTTTGGCAAAAAGAGATCCTTTCATCAAGGGCCACCTCCTAGGGCTCAGAGAAGGGGGGAAAATAGGGTTTTCGGATGGGGGACAGCAGGAAGGGATTTTTATTATGGAGGTGGAGTTGTCGACCACTATGGGAGGCTTTTTGGGAGAGTGGACGATCGGAGGAGATGGACAGGCTGAGCCATGGGGATTGGGTCATGTGAAGCGAATAGAAGAAAGGTGGGAGTCTCATTCTCGATATGTGGGGGAAACATGAAGGGATCACAATAACTACTACACCAGAGGAGGAAGAAGTTTTGGGACGGTGGTGATCCTAGGGTAAAAAAGTTGAAGATATGAATAATTGAGGAGAAGAAGAGTGAGTTCAATAAGTGATACACAAGCTTCTTCATAGGATACACAAATCGACAAAGAGAAATATGTGAATAAAGGGGGAAAGTAAATAAACTTGCAAAGCCAAGCTGATGATGCCGATCAGTAAATCTAATGCATTAAATTATCTAGAGAAGCAAAGAGTGGTGAAGGTGAGCCAGAAAATCAAAATTATGCAGTTGCCTTTACTAGAACAGTGGCTCTTCAGACAATTGATATGAACTAGGATAACTATTTGGAAGAAGCTTTCAAAATGAGAAATCTTTTGTAGGAATTCAATGAAGACCATGGACTGTGCCAACCAACCATTCTTGGTGTACATGGGCACATTTTTACAGGAAGTATTTTATCTTTGGAATGGTTCATGTCAAACCAATAAACAAGTTTTGTGACAATTAGACAAAGGGTTATGTCTACTCTACTGAGGGTGTGCTTCCAATAAAGGCATGCAGATGTATTTGACATAACTTTTCACATCATTAGAGGTGACATAACAAGGCTTCTTGTGGAATCAACCTAAGTGAGGATATCTTTGTAGGATTCAATTCGACATCGAGGCAAGGAAATATCACCCACCATGAGTATATTCAGGTTGGGACAGGTCGTGATGTTGGACTCAACCAAATCTCCGTGTTTGAAGCAAGGTTGCCTGTAGAAATGGAGAACAAATACTTAGTAGAGATATCTATCGCTTGGACCTTCAATTTGACTTATTCCGCATCCTTTCTTACTACTTCACGACTGTAGGGTTCTATGTCAGCTCAATGATGGTTGTTATCATAGTTTCACATTTTCATTTATGGAATGCCTTGCCTACCATTAAGTGGGCTTGAGGCTGTCATTATGAAGCAAACACTGATGAGAGGAAAAAATCCTCTGAAGGCTGCTATGGCATCTCAATCTATCGTCTAACTTGGTCTATTGATAGCCTTACCCCTGGTCATGGTGATTGGGCTGAAAAGGGGATTCAGAACTGCATTGGACGACATAATTATCATGCAACTTCAATTGTGCTTAGTGTTCTTTACATTCTTACTTGGAACAAAATCCTATTACTTTGGATAGACAATCCCACATGGTAGAGCAAAATATAGAGCTATTGGACGAGGATTCGTTGAGCTACATGTAAAGTTTTCTAAATCATGTTTAATTATTTAAGAAGATTTTCTAAATTATGTTTAATTGTTTAGGAAGGTTTTTAAAATTATATTAAATTGTTTAGAAATGTTCTATTTATGTTATTTTGTTCTAGGGCTATTTAATGGGTAGTTGTCTATGGTTTTAGGTTCATGCTATTTATAATTTTTGTTGGTGTTTGCTGTAGTTCTTTTCTTTGAGGGCTTCCTAGTGGCGTTTATGTTGATTGAGAAAGCCGATCTACCTCTGGAATTGTAGATCACCTGTATCTTGTTTTCTCTTATTAAAGTTTTAATAAGAAAATAAGCCACTGTTTTGGCTTTACTATAGTTTTTATATTATTGTTTGCTATTTTTGCTTCCACAATGTAACAGATGGCTTAAAAAATGCAAAAAATAAATACCAAACTGTTATAGAAGCTGGCCATTACTTGCCATTTATAGTGGAGGCCTACAAATCATTATGTGGAGGCCCACAAACATTATGTAGATCTACGGTCTTTTTGTGGATACCATAAATTAGACACCATAAATACCAATTTTGGGTATTTTGCGGTGGCCCGAAGTCTAGAGAAAGCACAACAATCTATATAGCAATTTAACTATATAATAAGTCTTCTAATTAACTATTAAATGATTAAAATAACTTATAAATACTTTATTTACATAATAAAAAATAATTTTATAACTATGACTAATATTTATCAAATTTTTACTTGCATGTTCATCTAAATACTTCTTTACATGATAAAAAATACTTTTTTTTCTAAGCAATCCTTCTAATTTCCCCTTCAAAAAAGAAATATCATTAACAATTTGTGGAATGCAAGCTGAAAAAGGCTCGCAGTACATTAACAAGGAAATGGAATACCATTTATACCGATTCAAACAGTCTACAATCAAGGTGTACATGAGGTGGTTTTTAAGCACAATATTATTTAACTAACTTGATGAATTGCTAATTACATCATATATTTCACTCATTGTCAATTAATTCTATGCTACTACACCTATGTATGGCGTCATTACAGTTTTCAAGCTAGTCTACTTTAGCTTATTTCTGCATGTTTGATAATTGGAACAGTCAATTAAAGAGCTCACCAAGATGGCACATAGATATTATAATGACGTTGCTCTTCCAAAGCTGGTAAGCTTTATTCATTCATGGCTTTCATTTTATTTGTCAGTTCTTCACTTTCTTCACACCCAATGTTCAATGTTAGTAAAATTTTGTAACCCTTACAGGTAGCAGATTTAGCATCACTTGAGTTATCTCCCGTTGACGGAAGAACCCTTACTGACTTCATGCATACACGTGGTCTTAAAATGTCCTCCTTGGGCCGTATTGTAAGTTCATAATAATTTCTTTTCCTGGCCTTTATCTTGTTTTTAACTTTTTTTTTTCCACCATGTAAAATATCTAGGTTGAGCTTGCAGAGAAGCTCCCACATGTACAGTCACTCTGTATTCATGAGATGGTCACTCGATCCTTCAAGCAATTAATAAGAGATGTGGTTGCTGCTGTTAAGAACTTCTCAGATATTCCTTACGCAGTTGCTACAGCACTGAATGTCTTGTTAGGATCCACCAAAGGGGATAAAGGAGACCTGGGCTTGTCTAATGATCATGGACTCAAGATGAAGTGGCTCAAAGCCTTTATCTTAAAGAAGTATTCGTGGAAGCTACGAAATGAGTTTCAGTATTTGAGAAAGTTTGTGATTCTTAGAGGGCTTTGTCAAAAGGTATGCTCGTTAAGCATAATTCAGATTAGCACACTTTTTGGAAACAATAAGTGGATAAATTCTTACCTCAGTGCATGAAAATTCAGGTGGGGCTGGAGCTGGTTGCTAGAAATTATGATTTTGATAGTCCAAATCCTTTTGAGAAATCTGATATTATCGGCATAATTCCTGTATATAAAGTATGCAGTACATCTTTGTTTCAGGTTTTTTGTATGCTACTAGTACTAAACGAAATCCACTCTGAAATTTCATATTTCTTCAGCATGTCGTGTGCTTATCCATAGATGCTAGGAACTTATTGGAGTCATCAAAGACAGCACTAGACAAGGGAAAGCTAGAGGATGCTGTTAGCTATGGCACAAAGGTGCTTCTTATTTCCTACCATGTGAATACCTCTAGCAGTATAAGAATTAGAAACAACAAATAACTCCTGCTTTTAGAATTTTCGCATGGCTTGCACGCCTGGTATCTATGGATTTTAGTGACTCGTTTTTCGCCCTTTTTGCATGTGAAGGCACTATCGAAAATGATAGCCGTGTGCGGTCCGTACCATCGAATGACTGCCAATGCTTACAGTCTTCTCGCTGTTGTCCTATACCATACTGGAGATTTCAATCAGGTAACTAAATTTGAGATTTTGTTATTCTGCGGGCTGCCATTGTCAATGTCGAACATGAGTAATTTTTTTAATGTATTTTCTATCAAGTAATTATTTTTTCTAGTTTTATCATGTATCCATCTCAACATTCTTAAATTTATCAGATAGAATTTGATCATCAACTACTTCTTAATCACCCAACACTTTAATCCATATAGCATTGTTGGTTATCTTTTTATTCTCCAGCATAGTAGTCTGGAAGTATTTCTTCATTTTGCTTAGCTTAATTTTTTCACTTACTCTTGGGACATTGCTTCCTTCTGAATTTACCTTTTTTTTTCCTCCTTTCAACGTTCTCTGCTAGGCGGCCATATATCAGCAGAAGGCGTTGGATATTAATGAACGGGAGATTGGACTTGACCATCCAGAGACCATGAAAAGTTATGGGGATCTTTCTGTGTTTTACTACCGTCTGCAGCACATTGAATTGGCTTTGAAGTAAGTTTAGGATGACAAAATATTTGTAATTCTTTTCTTTATACTATTTTATTGTTTTCTCAAAATTGTGTTCCTTCAAAATCATCTGCGTTCCTTTTTTTTTTTTGGGAGAAAATTAAATCCATTAATAAAGAAGGAAAATATAGAGAAAGGCTCTAAAAAAGATCGACAAAGGAAAAACGACAAATTACAAGCCAATTTAAAGAAGCAACACCAACAACAACAACATCAAGCCTTTATCCGTTTACGTGGGGTCGGCTACATGAATCCTTTTTCTCCATTGTGTACTATTAAAAGTCAAATTCTCGTTTAAATCTAATAAAGAAAGGTCATTCCTAATATTTTCTAACCAAGTCTTTTTAGGTCTACCCCTACCTTTCTTAACATAAGTCAAATCTAATACCTTTACTCTCCTAACCGGGTCATCGGAAGTCCGCCGTTTTATGTGACCAAACCATCTAAGGCGACTCTCTCTAATCTTATCTTCTACTGGAGCAACTCCAACCTTTTCACGTATATGCTCATTTCGTATCCTATCTCTAAGGGTAAAGCCACTCATCCACCTGAGCATCCTCATCTCTGCCACACTTAACTTAGTATTATGCTTCTCTTTTAATGGCCAGCATTCGGCACCATAAAGCATTGCAGGCCTCACTACCATCTTATATAATTTTCCCTTAAGTTTGAGGGGTATATTTCTATCACATAACAAGCCCGATGCATTCATCCACTTCAACCATCCAACTTGAATTCTGCTGATAATATCCCCATCTATTTCACCATCACTATGAACAATAGATCCAAGATATCTAAAACGTGTACTCTTATTAATGACTTGATCGCCCAAAGTCATAATCCCCTCACTAGGTCTATTACTACTAAAATTACACTCCATATATTCCGTTTTAGATCTACTCAAGCGAAAAACTTTAGACTCTAAGGTTGACCTCCATAATTCAAGTTTACCTTCAACTCCCTCTCTAGTCTTATCAACAAGAAGAATATCATTAGCAAAAAGCATACACCAAGGTACATCCTCTTGCAAATGTCTAGTGAGAACATCTATGACTAAAGCAAAAAGACATGGGCTATGGGCTTAAGGCTGATCCTTGATGTAACCCAATCGAAATAGAGAAATACTTGGTTAATCCACCTTGTGTTTGAACACAAGTAATAGCTCCTGCATACATATCTTTAATGATTTGAATATAAGTATTATTGACTCCTTTCTTTTCAAGAACTCTCCATAGCACTTCTCTTGGAACTTTATCCTATGCTTTTTTTAAATCAATAAATATCATATGTAGATCCTCATTTTTTTCTCTATATCTCTCCATCAAACCTCTTAATAAATGTATGACTTCCATAGTCGACCTACCCGGCATGAATCCAAATTGATTTTGAGAAACATTAGTATCATGCCTCAACCTATGCTCCATAACTCACTCCCATAGTTTTAAAGTAAAAGGACAAAAATAGAATTCAAAAGGCCATGAAGCCAATCAGACTCAGCATCGCCACCCAGTTTCCAGGCAAGAACCATCCATTGGCGCCATAAAAACCAGCAGTACGAAGTCCCAAACAGCACAAGAGAACGTCCACCAAGGTTGCCAAATCAAGCCCAGGCCATCCAAGGGGGCGATCAATAAAACAGCCTCATCATTGTCCGACATCCCAATCAATCGACATGAACCTGAAAAGACCAAAGACCAGTAGAAGGGCTTACTTCTACTTCTATTAGTTTTCTTTCCAAAAGGCCTCCAACCGAAAATGCCCCCAACCCTATGTTGCACCGACACAGATACGGCGACACGGATACGACACGATATAGATACGGGACATGGCAATTCTTAAAAATACATGATACGGATACGACATAGATACGAGATTATAATATATAAATCATGCATAAAAATAACAAATTAATCAAAACAAAATATTTGAAATGACAAAAAAATGAAAGTAACATCATTTGTAGTATTGTATCTTATAATATCAAAATAAAAGTAAGCATTAAATATTTAAATGTCTAGTAAAAAAAAAACAAAAACATAAAGTATCCAACATATGAAGTTTCAACTATTCAATAGAAGGAATGATAGGATTAGCTTCTTCAGTGGTTTGTCTTTGAATTTCTATGTCATCTTCAATGAATATCATAGCTTCTAATTCAGGCTCATCAAGTGAAAGATTAGCAATTTCTAATATTCTCGTATCCTTAAGAGATTCAAATCCATCTCCAGCAACATCCCACATCATGTTGTCTCTTTCCATATAAGTTGAAGTTTTCTTTAAGAGAAGCCGAATGTTTGTATGCATATAAACTAAATCTTCAGCCCGTTGTGGAGTAATTTTATTTCTCTTCATTGATTGGATGTATCGAGAGATACCGAGCAATATTGAGCGATACAGAGTACTGAGCGGTACCGAGTACTGAGCGGTACCGAGTACTGAGCAGTACCGAGTTCTAGTACCGAGCCTACGATTAAGAAAACGAAGAACGAAGAAAACGAACCTTCAATGCTCATGTCGCCTTCACTGTTTGTGTTGCCGAGCCGCTCCGTCAAAGAAGGATTCTATCCGCTTTAATGCTCGAGCCGTCGAGCCTCTTTGTCGACGAAGGATGATCTTGTCCGCTTCCATGCTCGCGTCGTCGAGCCGCTCCTTCGACTATAACGAAGAAGACAAACACCTGAGCGAAAACGAAAAACCTAGCTCACTGAAATGTTTAAGCCGCATAAATGAATAGGGATATCGAGCGGATAGCTGAAATGAATAGGGAAAATTGCAGCTCATTTTTTTAATAGGACACGCGTATCCGATACACATGTCCGATCAAATTTAAATAATATTTTAATAGGACACGACAAAGTCGTATCCGACATGTATCCGTGTCGTATCGGAGGTGTATCCGTATTCGACACGTGTCCGATACAACATGCCTCATAAATAGGCGTATTCGTGCAACATAGCCCCAACCAGAACCACCCAACAAATAGGCATCGAAATGCACATATAACCCACAACCAAAAACATGGAACTAACCAAGAAAAAAGGTTCAACAACAATAGAGAAGAACCAAATAATCACCTTACTTCCTTTTATGTTTTCTCTTACGACATTTGCCACCCCCAATGGAAAAGGCTTTTGAAACTATCCGATCTACATTTAAATTAAACATCTCATTGAAATCTGAAATTTATTTTAGAATTTTCTAAGAGAGGAAAGGGTGATTTAAACTCTCAAACTATTCCCAAAATAGTTCGGGGGGGGGGGGGGGGGCTGCTATTTAGGAGGGTTTAGGGAGCATTTAATTTGAATTAGGGAGTTGATTGGGGAGGGAAAAAGGAAGGTAAGGGGGGACCGGCCATGTGGAGAGGGAAATAGATGTCTAGGTTCAATGAATGTGGGCCCAAAGGAATTAATTATAGATTGAAATCAAATATGAATTTTAATTTCAGATTTGATTTAATTAGGGAAGCTTCCTAATTGGATTTTAACAATAGGGAAGTATTTAGAATTCACATATTTAATTGAATTCAATTAAGGATACTTTCCTAAATAGCAACGAGTTATTTTAGGAAGGTAATCAAAGTAATTTGGATTTTGAAATTCAAATTTTGTGGCTAGGTAGGCCGGTTGCTATGAGAGAACTAGGGAGGGGAACCGGAGGTTGGAGGGTGGAGGCCTGCGGCTGGACCGGTGGGGTGGGATGTCCGGCGGCTTGGGGTGGAGGGGGTCGGTTAAGGGAAGAACGGAGGGGACGGTGGGGGATAATAGGCCGGCGGTGGGGAAGGGGATAGCCGGCGGCTTGGCACTAAGGGGAGGGGATGTTCGGCTACAACTCACTAAACTCCCTCATAAGGGTACAAAGGTCAACTAAAATAAATAATAATAATACAATAACATAAAATAACTCATAAATAGATGCTCCTGATCATGAACGTCGATCTGCGATGTCTCCTGTGATATACACGGTGGAATCTTCTACTGATGTCCTCATCAAAAAGGGTAGAAACAACCGCACTATCCATGATTTAGCATACATTATGGATGGGTTTGAAGTGCCCCTCCCCTAAATCTCTCCCCACAATTGTCTTTGTGTTGGTCATCTTTGTCCTTTTGTGACCCTAAGAAAGATGGAAAGGTGACGACATAGCTTCCTCGTCCACGAGTTGAAGATTATCAAAAGGAGTTTGGCATGTTCCTCTAATGTGGTGGATTTTATTATCTCATAAGGAATCTGTGGCTAATCCACTGAATAGGTTTGGTCCAATTCAACCGTAAATTAATGGATGTTATTTATTGTATAAAATAATACTTAATTATAATTTAATCTTAATTTTCATGCTCCAACACTACAGTTATTGTTTTGTCTCTTTTTTTTAATCATATACTATCCTGGTGGTTGAAGAGAAAATATTAGAAAATGGCGATGATATCACATGTGCTATATAGAATTGAGTCATTGGCAGTAGACAATAACAACAACAATAACATCAAGCCTTTATCTCACTACGTGTGGTCGGCTACATGAATTCTTTTTCTTCACTGTGTGCTATTAAGAGTCCAATTCTCATTTGAATATAAGAAAAAAGTCATTTCTAATATTTCTAAACAAGTCATTTCTAATATTTCTAAGCCAAATCTAATACATCTACTCTCCCAGCCAGGTCATTAGAAGGCCAACATTTTATGCCACCAAATCATCTAAGACGACTCTCTCTAATCTTATCTGCAATTGGAGCTACTCCAACTTTTTCAAGTATGTACTTGTTTCACATTCTGTCTCTAAGATTGAAGCCACTCATTCACCTGAGCATCCTCATCTCTAAAACACTTAACTTAATTTTATGTTTCTATTTTAATGGCCAACATTCTACGCCATAGAGCATTGCAGGTCTCACCACCATCTTATAAAATTTTTCCTTAAGTTTGAGGGGAAATTTTCTGTCACACAAGAGGCCTGATGCATTCTTTCACTTCAACCATCCAACTTGAATTATACTAATAATATCCCCATCTATTTCACTATCACTTTGAACACTAGACCCAAAATATCTAAAATGTGTAATCTAATTCTTATTAATAACTTGATTGCCCAAAGTCAAATCCCTCCACTAGATCTATTATTACTAAAATTACGCTCTATGTATTCAGTTTTAGATCTACTCAAATGAAAATCTTTAGACTCTAAGGTTGACCTCTTTAATTCAATTTTTCCTTTAACTCCCTCTATAGTCTTTTCAACAAAAAAAAAATATCATCAACAAAAAGCATACACCAGAGTACCTCTTCTGCAAATGTCAAATAAGAACACCCATGACTAAAATAAAAAGATACGGGCTTAAAGTTGATCCTTGATGTAATCCAACTGAAATAGAAAAATATTTGGTTAAATCACCTTGTGCCTGAACACAATTAAAAACCTCGGTTACATATTCTTAATAACTTGAATATAAGTATTATTAGCTCCTTTCTTTTTTAGAACTCTCTAGATCGAGCACTTCCCTAGGAATTTTATTATATGCTTTCTCTCAATCAATAAATATCATATGTGGATCCTCTTTATTCTCTCTGTACTTCTCAATGAAGAGTCTTTGGCAGTAGAAGAGGCACAAAAAGATGGTAAGTTTTGTAGAAGAATATTAAGATGGGTGTGGTGAAACAAAGAGGAATGGATTGAGAATTTTACTACATTAGATAGAGATTGTAGGGAATGTATCAAGGATTAAGGTATAAAAGATTAACATGGTTTTGGCATCTATTGTGGAGAGAAGAGGAAACATCAAGGTAGCAAAAGCTATAATGCTAGGATCTATGATCATGTTATATTACGGGGATAAGAAAATGGCAATATTCTTGAAGATGCTAAAATAGATTTACCTAAAATGGAGTTTACATAAAATTTAACTCTATATATGCAAGAATGAGGTAGAGGAATTAGGAAAGCCTACCTCAAATAATTTGTGGAAGGCTGCTAGCGGTGATCTCCATGTGATGGATACGCATTGTAGCTGAAATAATTCATTTCTTACCTGGTTCTTGACTTCCCTTTTATGGTTATGACTTATGAACACTAAATACAATCAAATGCAAAGCTGAATGTGTCAAATTGCAATGGGAACTAAATTTCATACATTTGAGTGATACTCCAACTGTATTATTATGAACTCTCAAGTCAATTATATGATTAAATATTGCGGTATAGCCTTGTGTCTTTTAGAAATTTTGATAAGCTTAAAACTACTATAACTGATGAGGACATCGGAGATCGACGGCTACGATCTTGAGTTATTTACTTATATGTTTCTGTACTAGTTTATTTTATATTGTTGTTTTTCCCTTTATACCCTTACGGGTGGTCATGTAGTGTTGTAGCCCGAATGGCATTTTAGTCTTTTATTTCTTTTCTCTTCTTGAGCCTATTTATAGGCTAGTTGTTTTGTATTATGGGATGATGAATATTTAAATGAATTTTTTTTTTTATTGATCTCTAAGTGAGTTCATGGGAGGAGAGACCCAAGGGGTGGGCAATCGCAATACCCGTCAACCTTTGGAAGAGTCCAAGGTTCGCGGTTTTACGATCTCTTTGTGAGTTCGTTAGTTTACTTTTATCTTATTTTTATTTTCTTTCATCTCCTTTCTCCAAGTCAATCGCCGGTCACTTCCAACCTCCCCACCACCAGTGTTTCAACCTCCCCCACCCAATTCATCTTCTAGCTCCACCACCTAAATCCCACCCACCAACCTAGCCACAACCCGCCACCTAGCCGCCCCCTTCCCCCTTTGCCGCCAGCCACCTCATAATTTCCCCCTCATTATGATAATTTCAATTACCATAATGACTTTCTAATTTAGTTCAAGCATGAGAGGGAAAATTTGAATTCATTTGAAATTCAAATTCGAATTTCAAATTCTTTCTATATAGGGAATTCCAAATTAGGAAAGTATCAATCATGAATTCAATTTCAAAATAAATCAAATTGGAATTATTATTCCCTTTCCTAATCTTCACCGCCTATTTGGAAACTCCCATATTTCCCTCCCCAATCCCCTCCACTCCTCATGATGCCGCCAGCCCCATGATGGGCTCCCCCCATTAAATGCTCATTTAATCCCTCAACCTTATTTGAAATTTGAATTTAATTTCAAAACATTTTCCCTCCAAATCCACTTAAGCTGAAATTAATTTCAGTTTTCCAATTCCCATCCTCTCTCCCCAATCTAATTTTCTCCATTTAATTCTCCAACATAATGTCACTAATCTCACCACAATTTCAGCCGCCACATTCCCCTATCCCTAGCCGAATTAATCATCCCTTCAAACAGAACCTGGCCATCAGGAACCTAATCCAATATGCTGTCCAGCCATTCTGACCCAGGAAATACTTTCCAAAAAACTTCCAACCAGCAATTTTGCCACCACGTCACTCCCGTATACTAACTAGCAACCCTCCAAGAGCAGCCTAGGATTTCCTAGGCACTACAGTTTGTCGTTCAGGCTACCCCAAGCATCAAGATTGTTGGCCAAGACTTGCATGTCCAAATCAGATTTCTGCATCTAGAGAGGACTCCACCTGCTGTCCTGAAGTCCAGAAACAGGAAATTGCTGTCTTGTATTCCCGGAATCCTCGTTTTGCTGTTTTGGAGGCCTCCAATCCCATTCCAGCCAATCCAGCCGAAGGTTTTCTCTGCTCAGGAGTCCTAACCGCAGCCACATATCTTCTCTCTTTGGGTAAAGCTCTTTCTCCGACTCTTTTATCTTCGTAGTTACTCCTCAATTGTGGTCTTAGTAGAGTCATAAAGATAGTGTTGACACTCATCTGCTAAAACCTTAGTGATCTAGTGAGTAGAGTGAGGGGTCCTTGCATAGCAACTATTCTCATTGTTAATTTAGGGATTTATTGTTGAAACCATTCATGTATACAACGTTAGATTGACTTGATTGTTTTATGATCTTAACTCTTACGCGTGTGATTCAGCCTAAGCTTATTTTACCGCTCTTAGTGTTTTATTTTGTCGTTAGAAAATTAATTGTGAGATATGATTATTGTGGCTTCTAACACTTAAGCGTGCAAACTCTTCAAGTAATTCAACTTCGCATGTACGTTTTACATCAGTAACGGTACTTAAAAAGATTAGTTAATAATGGTCCATTTCTCATTTTCATTATTTTTGAAATGTAGTTCATATAAACTTTATTTTTAAGTTGGTTTTTCGATGAATAATCTTGCTTTTTTTGAACAATAAATTCATCTCAGGTATGCTAACCGTGCGCTCTATCTTCTTCACTTTTCCTGTGGATTGTCACACCCAAATTCTGCCGCAACCTATATTAATGTTGCAATGATGGAGGAGGGAAGAGGGAATGCTAATGTTGCTTTAAGATACCTGCATGAAGCCCTCAAGTGCAATCAACGATTATTGGGGGCCGATCACATTCAAGTCTTTCCTTCTCTCTTTTGGAACTATTTTTATTTTATCTTTGACTAATAAATCATCATAATTCATTTTATCCCAACTATTTATAGTCAGCTAGCATAACTAGTACATTCTATGTCAAAAAATACTCATAAACATTGTAATACAAAATTTATAGTGGATTTAACATTTAACTACAATATATTTACCAACTTAACTAAACGAGTAAGGAAGACATTTGAAGTCAAAATCAAATTATATGATAAGTTAACTTGACGTGCATTTAAAAAAAGCAGATGTCATTTGCTTGGACAGCTGAGATTGTTTTTATTGACTAATGATGTTAATAATTTGATTTTTACAGACAGCTGCAAGCTATCATGCGATTGCCATAGCCCTTTCAATGATGGAAGCATATTCCCTCAGTGTGCAACATGAACAAACTACTTTGCAGATACTGCAAGCTAAACTAGGATCTGAAGATCTGCGCACTCAGGTTGCTTTCCAATTATTAATGTCATAAAATCTAGAACTTAAATCTGCGAAGTGAAACCTGATTATTAAAATTTTGTGCAGGATTCGTCTGCTTGGCTTGAATACTTTGAATCTAAAGCTTTGGAACAGCAAGAGGCTGCACGTAAGGGCATGCCCAAGCCTGATGCATCAATTGCCTGCAAAGGTCACCTCAGGTAACCATTATCTACTATTCATTGTACATGATATTTCTTATAATTGTGACCGAGATATATTTCATTGAAATATGACCAAGACATCTTGTAACTGAAGCCTTTTACCAAATCAGTGTATCAGATCTCCTTGATTACATAAATCCGGACCCGGATATGAAGGAAAAGGACATACAGAGAAAACAGAGGCATACCAAGGTAACTCTTTTTCACTTTATTTTTTGCTTTATTACAAATTTGTTCATTTCAATCACATTCAGTCTTGTTTTTTTTTTATATCGCCAAAACTATTGTTGTCATGTGAAATGGTATGGAATGCCTATTTTTAAACATTTTATTTGCACTGAAAATTCTTACACAAACAAAATTAATGAACCATGAATGTCTTTATCTAAAGGAGTGACAATTTTTTGTTGCTTATATATGCTTACATGGCTTAGTGGGATATAATGAAGAAATATGATTCATATAGCCGACCCCACATAGTGGGATGAAGGCTTGATGTTGTTGTTGTATATATGCTTACATGGCTAGAAGTGTTATTGATTTGACATTTCATTACTTTAAATTCAAGAATATAAGCTTGAGATCTAGTGCTCAAATTTCAAATCATTAGATAAATTTTGAGATATAAACTTGTTTTGAAATTTTGATTATAAACAAATGAGGATAATAAACCGCCTTTACATACCTTCTAATAAATAAGTGTTACTGATTTGACATTTTGTTACTTTAAATTCAAGAATATAAGTCTTGAGATCTAGTGTTCAAATTTCAAATCATCAGATAAATTTTAAGACATGAACTTGTTTTGAAATTTTGTTTTTAAACACATGAGGATAATAAACTGCCTTTACGTACCTTCTACTAAATAAGAACAAATTTTGTCTAAACAATTCAAGATTATCACGGCACCTTGTCATTTTAAACTATAAAACTAGAAACTTCAGTTTGAAATTCTCATTTAACTTTGTAAATTTTATCCCACCTGATGATATTCAAATTATTGTCAATGTCACGACCCGGCCCAAAGACTCGAATTAAAGAGAAAAACGAACAGTCGGACAGTTAATATATTTTCACAATTACATATAACATTAATAACTTATTTTCCTCAAACACTGAAGAGCCACTAATACTATTTGTATATTGACTATGCATGTTAAACATAACACATTTTATTTGCTTTCATTTGAACGCCGTCTTCTATACATAAAATCATCTCTTTCAGCTGTTTCTACTTATCTAGAGACTTACCTGAAAAAGTTAATTTAATAGAGTGAGTTTACTAAGTAAACTTAGTGGAAATTCATTATTTTACATACAGTAGTAAGTCAACAACAATTAGTCATATAAAATAAACATACATATTTCTTCTTTATCTTTCTTAGTAAGTAAAATATGCATTTTTCTTTCATATACCATAAGTTTTATAATTTATTTTTTGACATAAATTACTTCATATTCTATTTCATTTGTCCATTTCCACTTGACATTCCTTTAATTTTCATTTGATATTTAATTCATTTTCATTAGTACAGGAGCATCGTCTAAATGTATCAATAAAGGTATAACTATTTTCATTTCCATTAAAAGAGAAGCATAATACTAAGTTAAGTGTTGCAGAGCTGAGGAAGCTTAGGTGGATGAGTGGTTTTACCCTTAGATATAGGATATGAAATGAGCATATACGTGAAAAGGTTGGAGTAGCTCCAGTGGAAGATAAGATTAGAGAGAGTCGCCTTAGATGGTTTGGTCACATTAAACGGAGGCCTTCCGATGACCCGGTTAGGAAAGTTGAGGTATTAAATTTGACTTATGTTAAGAAAGGTAGAGGTAGACCTAAAAAGATTTGGAGGTGATTGACAATGAGGGTGGCATGAGCATCGACAATGGGAGCGACTGTTTATGCGTTTATGGTGGAAGTCAACAACGAGCAGTGACTGACCAATAATCACTTTCACCTAAGCTATGTATTTAAAATTTGCTCAAAACAAGCAAATTCCAAATACACTTAAAAATTGAATGAAGTCACTTCTAAATAAACTTCTAAAATACATTGCATTTGAAATGCTACCATCCAAATGTCCTAATTTTCAAAACCCCTACATTTACTTTACACTCAGAATGCAACTAACCAAATAGCCCCTTAATGACTTATAAACACAAGTGCATTTCTCATACATATAATATAGCTAATTTACTATATTAAGTAATTATATGTAATTTATAATTTGTATTATATATATATATATATAGACACACACACACACTCACACACACATACCTACAATATACATTAAAAATGTAATATTTGTAACTTAATTACTATTTATAATAGTATAACTATATCATAAAAATTAAAAAGTATGTCAACTAAAAATTGGGCTAATTTGGAATTGTTTCAGATTTATTATTTTGTAATGGTGTAAAACAAGCATAAAAATAACTGCCTATTTTGACATAGTCTACAGAGAGAGAGAGAGAGTTGCAATATATATATATATATATATATATATTAACTGTGTATTGCTAGTAAATTTTTTTTCCATGCATTAAGGTTTCCAGCTTCCTCCTTAATGACCACTAATCACTTCCCGTGGATTTTTTAACGTCTTGTCAAGGCTTTTTAATTTTATGTGTAGATTCCTTTTAGAGCTCTCCATACTTAATCTTTTATTGGCTTACTACAAATATATATTTATTCACTCAAGCTTTGATCTTTTTGCCAGATTCACATCGGTAACTTGTCAAAAACTAGTGTTTATGGCTGTGTAGCTTGTATTAGCCAATTCCACATCATAACTATTCTATTCTAAGTATTCTTCATGCAATGTCTCAGTTTAGCTAACTTTATATGCTTGAAAAATGGACCCGTTGAAGAACTCCAAATGTCTTAAAAATTTTAGTTTACTGTTTTTTTTCCCCCTCTTTTTGAGGACTTGGTTTCCTTCTACAAATTGTTTTGACATCTTTCATGATGTTTTAATTCCTTATATTCTTCTCAAATTGTTCTCATTTTATTGGTTTCCTCTGAAAATGTTTATCACTTGATGTAGAGCAATAATAAACCCAATCAAGAGCAGTCAGTTACAAATCCAGATGATGGATGCCTCATAAGCAACCCGAAAAATCATGAGCAGATAGAAGCATCCAGACAAGAGGAGAAGCCTAAAGAACCTCATTTTGGAATTAAGGAAGGTACTGAGATTCTTCTGGTATCCAAAGAAGAGTCTTCTGATGAAGGGTGGCAGGAAGCCAGCTTCAGAGGAAAATCTAATCAAATGCGGTGGAAATCTGATTCAAGACGACCCGCCATTTCTAAGTTAGTAGCGAACAACTCGGGGTCATATTCTACCGTAAGTGTCGGTTCTAAGACAAGAACCATATCACCAAATTCTAAGTTCATCTTTGATGGAGCAAGCTCCTCCACAGATGTCCCTTCAGTTGGAAAATTGTGGAACTCTTCAAGTTCAGTGGGAGAAGAGGCTAATAAACCTCAACCGGCTATCCCTGATATAGAGGCTATTTCAGAACACCACCTTAAGGCTTCTGGTACGAGCAGGCTCTGTGCTGTGGCTTCCAGGTTTGTGTCCTACAAAGAAGTAGCCATGTCACCTCCTGGCACTGTTTTAAAGCCTGTAGCTGAACAAACTGTTCAAGTTAAGGATAAGTCCAATGATCCACATGTGCAAAACAAGGGGGTAGAGAAAATCAAGGATGAAAATGAGACATGCGAGGATTTGGAAGAATCTCCTTCTGATGAAAGTGACAAAGAGGCTCACTCAAACGAAGCAGTGGAGGCAGATAGGGAGGAGAAACCTTCTACAAGTTCTGATGAGGTTCAGGAATTTTCTGATTCCAAGAAAGAAATGACAAGCAGAAGCAGCTTGTCAGCTTCTGCTCCTCCATTTAATCCAGGGTCTCTGCTTTCAATGTCTCATCCATATAACTCGGTTGCAGTTGATGGCATATATAATGCAAGAGATTTTCAGAAGAGTGCAGCACATGAGCTTTTGGAAATTCCTTCTGCTGAGTCTGTAGATCTTAGAGTCTCTCGTGGTCCCAGATCCACAATTTACTATAGGACTGTGCATTCTTTCAGGAGGAAAGCTCGTTATGCAAGTTCCAACAATGGCTTTTCCAATAGAAATAGCAACTCTCAGAGCATCATGAATCCTAATGCTGCTGAGTTTGTTCCGGCTAAGGGTTGGCGCCAAGAAGTAGAAAAATCTGCGGTTGTCGGCGAAGAAGCTCAAACTCCTAAAAATGCATCTTTTAAGCAGCAAGAATTTACAAATGTTTCAAGGAATGGAACTTCCGATATTCTTTACTCGCAAGAGGAAAGAAAAGTAGAGAAACCTGATAAACTAGTGATTAGCAATGGCAATGGGAGAAATGACACTAAGAGCCTACAAAAAACTGAGCTTGGACGACAAATTCTTCTCAACTTAGTTGTGAAATCATTTCAGCATAGTCTGATCTCTTCATCTGAGACTGAGGTTACTTCAGGTCTTGCTAAAAACAAGCACAGTAAAGCGCAGCTCTCCCAATCTTCAAACTCTGTGCAGTTTAAGACGGGAAGAACTAATAACAGCAAGAAACAAGATGCAGAAGGATTTACAATCGTCTCAAAGCGGAGGAGCGCCAAGCATCAATTCCCTAGTGAAGTGAACGGCTTGTATGCCCAGCAATCTATCTGTACCTAATGGGTTGACAAAGCTCGGAGAAAAGGAAAACAACGAGTTCTTTGTTTCCTTGCTGAATATTTGAACTTTCTCAATAATGTAAGAGCAGAGATGAAAGTATATTGCTAGTCTTCCTGGTTGAGGAGCAGATATTCAAGAGTGATCTTGTAATAACAAGTTGGTCTTAAGATTCCCAGTTTTTCAAGTGATTGTTTAGGAAGTTCAATGATTTCATTAAAAGAACTTGTGGTTTTTAATACATAAACCTTTTTCGATTGCTTAAAATTTATTCTTTTTTTTTTTTGCTTTATTTGAATTTCTTTTGAGGGACAAAATGAGGCAAAGCGCAATTGTATTAGAAGAGGCAATTGCAAGTAAGAAAAGCTGCTGTTAGATATTTCAAGAAAATAGCAGCAGCATAGGCAAAATCATATTTAGATTAGTGCAGGGATAGGCTGAGATCAACATGTGTCATCCCACTGTAAGTTGAAGATGCGGTATCTATGGGGAAAAAGATTATGGCTAAAAGAAGAGTAAGAACATGACAACACAGAGATGTCTATATGTCCAAGTGGCAAATACAAACTTATGTAAGGTGGGAGTAAAAACTATGTACATTGATGTACAGTTGTGCATCTTATGCTGCTCATCTTGGTCTGTTGGTTGATAATTTTGACTACAAATCAAGAAGTTTTGAGTTCAAAGCTTGCATATGTGATGTGTGTGTGAGTTTGTTTTAATTGGCTCAAAAGTAAAAATAAAAAGTTGTGTATCATATAGTAAAACTGTATACTCTCGTATGTAACACTCAAGTATTGTACATGTCATTCAACTTATTAATTTCTAATTTAACATGTGATATATTTATGATTCGTTTGAGATAGCTTTTGACCATTACTTTTTCGTTGCTTTAATGAAATATTTGTACTAAAAAATTGTTGTAGAAAACAATAAGAAATCTGTCTCAAACAAAACCTAAGTTTAGCTGATGTAGCAGAAATGAATGGATATCCATACGAATAATAGATAAGTCACATCTATATAAATATGCAATAATCATATACTTTTATCTTAGTGAAATGACTTGAGGCCTACTGATTAAAAGAGATGGTTTTATCTCCAATGTCATAAATTTGAGCAACATAATTTATGATTTTTCGCTCAACATTCTTTCAAAAAAGAAGTTTATCATATTCCTTCGAGGCTAATTAGTATGTTATTGATTTAGAATCATAGATAGATAGAGTATACAAATTAGTATATAAAATATTTTTTCTCATCCTTAAAATCAACTTTTTATAGGTAAACAATTTCGTTTCACTTGATTCTTGAATGAATATGTGGATATATCACGCAATATAACCAATTTCTTCTTTAAAACATCAAATCATCTCTCATTCACATCTCTTAGTGAAGAGTGTTGCTCGTTAACCTTTCATGTATTGAATGAGTTCTTTGAAAATTATGAGTACAATACTTTGTATTAGAAAATGGCTGCAAAAACCCTCATTGTATTAGATACCTAACATCCATAATATAATATTTATATATTTTTAATTGCCCATTTTTTTAGTTAAAGAACAAGTGGTTGATTACGCTAGGTTAATTACTTACTTGACGGTGGCATAAGAAATTGATGTTCTTGATTACATATAAAAAATTTAAAAGAGCGACGATCATGCACACTACCCTCCCACCTTGATTGATAAGAAAACAATAAAACACATGTTGTGTAAAAAATATATATATCATAACATTTTGCGTTGTTAAACCACATTGCTATACATAAGCTACCTTTTTCAACACTCGAAACATGAGAATCATGCATTTTATCAATAGCTCCTATAAAATCCTAATTGAGAAGAGTTGCTAAGATATTCGATAAATTTTTACAAATCATACAATATAATAATAATAATAGTATTTATCTTGAAATATGACATATATCAAATATCATACAAAATCTTCCTTGGGGCATTTTGAAAACCATGATACATATAATAGAATGTGTTAATTTCACTAAAGCTTTCAATTCAATAGAAAAATACTTATTGATAGTCTCAGTTGAATGTTGAAATCACTCGCATTTCTAACACGAAGCAAGTGGCCAAGAAGCTGTGAGAAAGCTAATGCTGAATTTACAATAGAAGAAATAACTTGCAGAACAAACTGGCAATGACTTAGGATTCCATAAATGATCCAAAGCAGCTTGCATGATGTTGAGCTCAAGCATTTAGCAGCTAACAAATAGAATATAGAGCACAAATGAGTATACTTGACCAAAGAAAAAAAGATGAGGCTAAAGATTGCAGCAAACAGAAGTTCCATGTGAGTATTCAAATCTTAAATTAAATTTGCTGGGAGAAAAATAGCAGCAAGTAGTTCACCAAGAGCAAATATAACAATGAAACAGTATATGCAATTCACAACAGTAAAACCCGATAGAATATATATCAATTTCCACATAGCAGAATATAATCTAGCTCATGGTTTAATTGAGGATAGTAGAAAACCCAGAATTTTTGAATTAATGTTCATAATTAATTTATGTCAATAGAAAAGAGGAAGCAACAACATTCTCTTGCTGTCCATTCTCAAGGAAAAGTCAATAAAAACCAAAATATGCATTCATAGTAAAATATTTACTACAGTGAGTATTCTAATTTGTCTCTTATATAAGCAACTTATCTCTTCACATAAAGTCAAATTGAACCTTAATTTGGCAATTTCATATTAGAGATCATATGTATTTGTGCTTGTAGAAAGATACTATAAATTTATTGACTATGAAGATTTATGAAACTATGGTGTTATTGTGCTATGATTTTCATGGAAATAAACAAAGGTAATGAACTCTTTGATTGGAATGTATTGCTATAAAACATTCTCGCTTAATTGGATTTTCAAGAAGCTTTGTGGAGAATAAGTGACATGTTTTCAAATATTCATGTGGTTTGATCAAGAACATCATTACTAGTAGAAAGCAAATGGGCCTCAATTATTGCCTGTGATGCATTTATTCTTGAACTGATGTTTGTGCATGAATTGACAGGCTGGGTAATTTAAATTCATAGAAATGCATATCCAAATCTTTTTTTCCTACCAGTTGTTTAAGTTGTTGAGATTGGTTGTTTCAAATGGCTACACTCACTATTGCCATTCAACTTTTATAAAGGATCTTCAAAAGGGTCACTACCGATATCAACTTATTTGAAATCTCCACAAACATTTTCATTGCCAAGCCCATGGTTGAGAGTCCAATCATGAACATCAGTAGTGACGATGTCCATGAACATCCAATCAAGCTTATGCTATGATCAATTCCACAATATTTAAAATTTTTGGCATTTGACACAACCTACAAAAAAAAAATTCATTTTATAGAGCTGAAAGGTATAATATGAAGTTTAAAAAAGACTAATATATAAATATGCATGCAATGAATATTCACCTTTAATTTTTCTTTCCATCATTCATTGGGTGCATCAATGATCTTTCTTTTGAGATCCCAACCCAATATAGTCAATTCAAACTTTATCTCTTGATTTCATAAGCTTTCATCACATAACTTTTGATATGTTATAGATTTGATCATTCAAAATGATATGATATTATTTTATGATATTTTCATCAATAAAATATGTGTATAATAATTTCAGTGTAAAATGAGTAGTGACAATGCATGTTGAAAATGAGATGAAAGTGATGTATTGTAATTGACATAATAAATTGAAATATAATATGTGCTGAAATGATCGGTAGAATTGATATGTACTGGAATGTGATATTAATTTAACTAAAATAATGCATTATACTAATGATGTTCTTATAAAAAATGATATACTCATTAATATAAGATATTTGATATTATAACCTTATGAAATATTACTAAGATCTACATGTTCCATTTAAAGAAATCAATGGATGGAGTCATAAGGAGTTGAAGATTGATGGAGTTATAAGGAGCAAGGGTAACTGATTCATGTGATTTAAGGTGAGTTATAAGGAGATCATTGATTGAGATTCATAAGAGGCAATTGACCAAGAGTTATTATAAGGGTAGGAGAAAGATCAAGATCAAGATACTCTCATCTGAACATCTAATAGAATACTGATTATTGACTATTGATATTGAATTTTGATTGATTACTCATTATGGTTGCTGATACTATAGCTTATACTATATTGATGTTGTTTACTATCAATACTATTAATATTGCTAATATTGACCACTGTTTCTAATATTGTGACTAACACTGACCCTGATTACTGTTACTGATATGGATCACTATTACTGGTGATATAATAGATTAAAATGTAATATGTTATAAATTGAATTGGTACAAAGAACCAACATAGATATTGATACATTAATTTCTTTATATAATTTACAACATTTTTTTTTCATTGCATTAATTTTAGCAGTAAGATTTTAATTAATGTGGGCTTTTATGCTCATTACGTGGTTTTAAATTCTTTCAGGAAAATATAAAGACCTTGCGATGTGAGACTTCAACATCATGCTAACTGTTCTTTTTTTGACACTTGTAGTTTATTTTGAAGTCATATTGTATTTATAGTGATGTAATAAGTCTTATGTATCATAACTATTGTATATATGATAAAGCTTGCATAAAAAAAAAAGTATATTTCTATATTTAAATTAGATTAAATAAGTTAGCTGCATTGCAATTCAAAATATTAAACAAGTATAAATAAATATATCCACCTTCCAAATGAGACATCTACACCTTATTTTAATAAATGCTCTTAGCCCTGGAGATTTCACTCTCAATTAAAAATTAGACAAATTACATAAAGGTAGAAATACAAAAATGCAACTTATAATCCTTGTAAGTAGATCAAATGAATAAAACATATATATATATATATATATAATCACATTCACTATCAAAGTAAACATCATTCAAAAAATGATTTGGAATATGAGATTAGGGAAAAGTTGAGTTAATGGCTTTATATTCATCTTGTGCTTCAGGGAAAATTAGGGGAAGTTGAGTTAAGAGAAATTTGATTTTGATGGAGAAATTGAATAGCATAATTATACATGTCAAAAAGAAATTAATAAGAGATTAATCATAGATGATTTAAAGTCACCACCGCATGTTGGATTAAGGATATTCTACTATTCGAAATTAGATATTGTGTTGACGAGAGACCTTCGATCAACCAAATATAACCAGGCCGAGGACGAAGTCTGGGTAGATTATTGTGAGGAGAGTTGCGATAATGGAGACGAGGATGGGAATCGTGGTGATGAGAGA